CCCACAGGACAACCCCACCCCCCTACCAGTGAGCCCACAGGACTATCCCCCCACCAGTGAGCCCACAGGAAGACCCCCCACCAGTGAGCCCACAGGAACACCCCCCCACCAGTGAGCCCACAGGAAGACACCCCCCCACCAGTGAGCCCACAGGAAGACCCTTCACCAGTGAGCCCACAGGAAGACCCCTCACCAGTGAGCCCACAGGAAGACACCCCCCCACCAGTGAGCCCACAGGAAGACCCCCCACCAGTGAGCCCACAGGAAGACCCCACATAACCGAAAGGACCTCTCAGGCTCTGGGATAAACTTTAGGACTGAATGTGGTGGACAGACCTACGCCTGTCTTGGGACCCTGCCAAGAGACACATCTAGCCCCTCCGCACAGCCAGCCTCAGACACTCACCATGAAGACCATAGTGGCCAGTTCATACACGATGGACTGGGCCCCCAGCTCCACCATGCCGAGGATTCCTGAGGAGAGAGACCGCTGGTGCCGCGCTTCCGGGCAAGGCCCTCCCCCCCCACACAGCGCCCCCTCCCGCACTGACCGCTCAGGAAGCTCCCGATCTCGTAGGCCCACCACTCCATGCACAGCATGAGCATGCTGGGGATGGCCAGGCGGAAGAAGGAGCCCCAGTCCTGCAGGCACTCCAGCGACCACCCTGGGGGGACGCACAGTTTCAACACAGCTGGGCACCCGCCTGGAGCGCACCGGAGGCAAAACCCACGTCCACGTTGCAAAACAAAAGACAGCCTTTACCTCCCCAGGTAGCTCGATGCAGTTTCTTCCAGATGATGTAGAGAAAGAGGAACAGAGCCAGGGAGAACTGGGAAATCAAGTTGGCCAGTGCTGAGCCCCTGGGAAGAACAGCCCGTGAGGGGAGTGCCGCTCTCCGCCCCTCCCGGCCGCCCTCAGCCAGGGCGCCATCCCATCCCGCGCTGGGATGTCTGAGGCAGGCCCTCCTTCCAGAGCATCCCTCTCCCCAACCCCGACCGGACCGTGTTTTCCAGAGGGTCCAAGGCGGAGACCATACATGGACATGCCAGGTCAAGGTCTCTCCCCCAGCCTTGGAGAAGCCACACGCAGTCATTCCTTCTCCCTGTCCCAAGAATCGGTCGGACTCACATCACCCCAAGATGCAGTTCGTGGAGAAACAGATAGTTGACGAGAGCGTTGACGAGGTTGGCTGCAACTCCGGTTAGGATCTGGGGCAGGATGATTCCCTGGAGCGAGGAGAGACCGCACCTGCTAGAGACCCCTGGAACCGGCGGGGCACAGGCAGCCGCGGGAGCCCACGTGCTGTGGGTGCCTCCTTGCTGCGCCGTACCTTCCCCCCTCCCAGCACCCCCTCTCCTCCTCCTCTCCGCGCCATGGCGAGACCAGGGCAGGAGGTGGGACGCGGAGAGGAAAGGAGAGAAACTACAATAGTGCCGGCGCCAGCAGGGTGACAGCGTACGAACAAGCTGCTTTCACATTGGACTGTGGGTGAAAGTCCACCGCCTTCTCAAGCGAAATGGAAATTGGGAAACTGGAGTGTGGGTGCGTTCCCTCCTATCTGGCTCTGCTCGTAAGCACAGAGCAGAAGCACCCCGTCTTATCTGGCATCTCAAATCTGAGACGTGCAGCTGAGAGTAAGATGGCCTTGCACTGAGGAAGTGAGCGGCTGCTGGCCAGGCGTCCGGAAACAACGGCCGACCGGCTCGAGCACGTGGGGTCCTAGGGAACACGTCTCCGCCTGCGGTGTCATCTCGCCCCTTTGAACCCTTTCTTATCTCTGGGAAAGCTGGTTCTCTGAAACCACATCTGTAAAAGCCTTTCTGTTTGAAATCCTGTCGGTAAAAGTAAGACACCCCACTCTGCCGGGAGGGTGAAGTCAGTGTCACACAGAGCAGCCTCCACGTCCCACCCAGGGGCAAAGCTCCCCGAGCTCCAACACGGCCGTCCACATCCACCTGAGCTCTGCGGCTTCCCAGCCGAGAGGACTGGGGTAGAGAGCGGGCGGGCCTGGCCCTGACTTCTCCGCTCGGCTTGCTCTGCTCCGAGCCTCCCTTGGCGGGCTTCCTTGGGTTGCGCTGAACGGCACCCGCCTTTGGTGAGAACCCACGGCCCCTCCCATCTGTCGATGCTCCGGCTGACAGACCTGACTGCCGGGCTACGTGTTGGCTCCAGTGGCCTCGGTGGTCTTGGGCTCAGAGGCCAGGACAAAGGTCTTGGCCAACCATTTGTGCGGGTCACTTATTTATCAGGAGGCCCTGGTTAGTTTAAGCAAGGAGTTAGGGGGCCCGAGCTGCACTGCGGGTGGAGGTGACAGTATTTAGAGGGGATGCAAGTGAGCACAGGGGCGAGACAGGCGGCGGGGAGAGGCCGAGGCCACTGCAGGAACACGGGGCGGGAGCTGGGGGCATTAAGGCAGGGCTGGCAGGCGGCTCCCCATCCGGCCCCCATCTCTGATCCTTCCAGGGCCCCATCCCTGAAAGCTGTGATCTCCTACTGGCCCCACAAAGGAAGAGGAAAGTCCGCATTACCTGGGTGAGCAGATATTTAACTTGTAACGTGTAAAGAAACGTCGCCTACGAGAGAAAAATAGAGATGCATGTTCATATTTTGGCCTGACCATGTAGAGAGAGCTGAGAGCCACTGCTGGACTGCCCTTTGCTCCCGCAGGACCACAGAGCTGTGTCATCGGGAGGGGGAGGGGGAGGGGGAGGGGGAGGGGGAGGGGAGAGAGGTGTCCAGAGCTGAGGGTTCCGCACATCTCCTATAAACGCGCATGACCCAGCTGGCCCCGGGGCGGGGGTACAGCTTCCTGTGCACAGTGAGGCCGCCTCTGTAGGTTATGGGCTGGAAAGAAAGCCCTGGGCAAACTCTAGGGAAGCTCTTTCTATAGACGAGCCTGTAGTCCTTTCTGCCAATACAGTAACGAAAACGACCACAGCTCTAGGCTGCAAATCTGCACAGGGTGTTACTGAGCTGCAGACTGTGGGCAGCTGCCGCACAGCGGTGTGTGTGATGCGCTGTGCTGCAACATTAGGAAGCTGCAGCTTCACCAGGCAATAGGAATGCTTCAGCTTGTGGGGGCGCAGAAGAAGTCACCCCACGATGTGCCTCAGTGGTAGCAGATTGTTCTGAGCTAAAGAGAACTTTAACTGCAGGCTCAAGAGAAACTTCTGCTCCTCCCTTTAACTACCTAGAACTTGAATTAGGGGTGTTGCCCGTAATAAGAGATTATCACAATAACCTTTTAGGCCCACGCCTATGGCAGGGAAAACCTTTATTTCATGAACATCTGCTCTTTTCGTCACCCTGCAATGACCCTTTGAAGCCCCCAAGACATCGGCCTCATCCCTAGCTCAGAACGGCTTATGTACCTGGATCCCCGTCTGTCTCGGAGCATCCCCTGCACGTGGGGTTTCTGACTCTCGTGTACCCGGCATTCCCACTCATGTGTAGTGTCGACATAAGAAATGTCCAAACTCTAGAGAATTTCTGTGAGTCTATTGAGCCAGACCGGTGGCAGCTGCAGGAAGCAGGACCTCCATGGGTGAGGAATGCCCAGAGGACGGCGACCTGCACCTTATTTCATGCATTAGAACCAAAGGAGAAGACGCGAGGGCGTCTGTGAGAGCCATGGTGACGGAGCAGGGAGGCGAGAAAGCACCGCGGGGAACCGCTGGGATTGGTGGGTAGAGAGTAAACGAACAGACGCAAACTTCCTTCCATTGGTGAACAGCTAACATTTACACACATGGAGATGGTGTGTGGGGAGCAGGGTAACAATGAGGGGCTCTGTGGGCTCCTGCTCTGGTGGGGGGTTGTGCCCTGAAGGGTCTGGAAAAAGGGGTTACCCTGACATTCCAAAGGTATGTTATCCTAGATGCAAAAAGGCAGTAGACAGGCTCAGGTAAGGTAAAGCTTGACCTTTGTCAGGGAAGATGCCAGCCGACTACAGGGCGACCGGCCATGACTCACTGGTAGTCAGGAAGTTTTGATTTCAGACCATTCTGTGTGGTTCCTTTAGATCTGAGTTTGCAAGTCCTGCCATGCAGGCCTCCCCTGAGCTTGTCAGGTTTAGATGTGGCCCCTTTTTCGTCCACAGTGTGTATTAAATGTGGTTATTTTCTCTTGCTAATCTGTCTCATGTCTATTTGATGATTAGACCAGCCAGAAGAACCCTGAGGGTAGAGGAAACTTCTTCTCCCCCACAAGCTCCATTACAATCTTATGGGACCAGCATCGTATACGCGGCCCCCCAAAACCTCATGAAGCGGCTCACAACTGCATGGCGGCTATGTCCCAACCGCACGGCGGCCAAGCCCCAACCGCACAGCGGCCAAGCCCCAACCGCACGGCGGCTATGACCAATTGTACGGCCGTGTCAAACATTAACACACACTCGTGGTCGGTGCCATCACAGTCAGCAAGCGCAAAACAAATCTAAAGGTTGCGGGTGAGGCCTCAGGTGACTGAGACGTGGAAGGATGTCCCCTTCGAAGAGGAGGCCCGAACTCCCTGCGTGACCCCGGAGCCCCTCCAGCTGCCCACGGGAGCCACCTGGACCTTAGAATTTCCTGAGGGACAAATGTCTGTCTTTCCTGAGCATTCCTGAGCATAAGTAAAGCCGCGCTTTCTGGAATGAGCCCACATCACATGCGATCCAATTCATTGAGCTCAAGGGCATCTCAGCTGCTTTTTCTCAGTGAACCGCAAGAAGAAAACAGCTTAACACTTGGAAACTTACAGGAAGAGCTGGAATGAAGATCATGACATAGGTATGGGTAAGCCTATACAATAAAAAGAAAATAAAAGTGAGGAGGTCTCCATCTCAAGGAAAAGGAAGGCAGGACAAACCAGCTGTAACTGCCTTTCGCAGCCTTGGCTCTTTCTAAATTAATGGACTCAACTGCTGCAGCAAATGCGCACATTTACAATAGAACTTGTCATCTCATAACCCAAATTACCTCTCTGGGTTCTTCCAAGCCTTTGGGTCTAGGGTGGCATTTTTCCAGCTCGGCACTGTGGCTGCTGAATTGTCTGCTGTGGGCAACTTTCCTGTGGTTTGTAGCATCTTGGGCTTCTACCAGCAGCGATGCCCTAATACCAGTTCTGGTAACAGAATGTCTCCCGACATTGCCAACTGCCCCCTGGGGTCAGAGCCGCGGGTCTGAGACAAGGACTGCCCTGGCAGGGCTCAGTCTTGGCAGCATGTTAGAGTCATCTAGGTGACCTCTGAGACACCGCCGCCACGCCTGCCCCCGACCATGAGGACAGCGTGCTGGGCGGGAAGGAGGACCCGGCAGCGCTGGGCTTTGAAAGCTCCAAGGCGGCTCATACCAACCAGGGTCGATAAGCACAAAACCACAAATGAACACCTTCAACGACCACCTCTCATGGAGATGCTGGCAAGTCGTATTTCTCCCCAGACTACCTGCCTTTGCAGTCACCAGGGGCGGGCTCTGGATCACAGGGGCAGGTGTGCGGGCCGTGGCCCTGGCCTTTGGCGTTTCCAGAGGCCAGGCGTGGATGGGAGCATCTTTCTGCTGGGATGGCCCTCCCGCCCTGCACGGCCCGCCTTACCTGGACACGGCCGGGTCCTGCCGGAGGAGCAGCAGGAGGTGCTGGGTGTTGAGGAAGAGCGCCCAGCAGGGGAAGCAGCAGAGCAGCAGGATGAGCGCGCCCCGCTGCAGGATGACGCCCACGTGCTTCTTGTTGGGGCTGCCGTACGTCTGGGGGCACACAGCGAAAGCAAGCCGGTTAGTGCCCCACGCCCCCACAGGCCTTCCGTCGCGCCTCAGGAAGGACAAGTGGCCCTACAGACTTGGCTGCATTGTGTACGTGCCGGCGGTTCTCAGACTCCGCCGTCCCTGATATCGCCTGGGAACACCTCAAAGCACTGAGGCGGGGTCTCACTGAAGATCGTCTGGATTTGACCGTCCCGGGTGGGGCCCAAATATCATAATTTTTAAAAACTTCCTGCTCAGCTGGTGTGGCTCAGGGGTTGAGCATCGCCCTATGAACTAGGAGGTCATGGTTCGATTCCTGGTCAGGGCACATGCCTGGGGTTTTGGGCTCGATTCCCAGTGTGGGATGTGCAGGAGGCAGCTGATTCATAATTCTCTCTCATCATTGATGTTTCCGTCTCTCTCTCTCTCTCCCTTCCTCACTGAAATCAATTAAAATTTAAAAAAAAATAAAAATAAATAAATAGATAGATAAAAGCTTTCTAGTTAGGGTTGCATCCCTAGAAACTTGTTAGAAATGCAATATATTGGGCCCCACACAGGCCTTCTAAGCAGACTCTCCGGAGGAAGGGACGGTGGTGGCTGGGGCCAGCGGCTGTTGGCTCACCAACGCCAAACTGCACATCCCTTCCCACGCCCTGTGCAGTGACATGTGTGGGAGGCTGAAACTCGCCACAGAGGGAGCTACTTACACCACTGGAATCAGCCCACGCACAAGTCAAAATGCTTCTCTCCTGTGGAGACTACTCCACGGCCTGACCGCCGCCCACTGCTGCCTCGCCCCCACCAGCTGGATGCTTCCTGACAATCCCGGGACCCCGACGGCTGTCGCATCAGGCGGGCTGGTTCTAGAACAGGCTGTGGCCCTGCCTCAGGAAGTATGCAAGGCATTTGCCCTTATCTGGGTGGGGGCGGGTGCCACACCTGAGTACCCCTGTCCACCCTGCCCTGTGTATATAGCCCCTCAGCACCTGTCACGCGGGGTGCAGAATATCCACATCATACCACTGCCCTACACGCTCCTCCTCTGTAAGTTCCCTTAGTAAACTCGGTGTAATAACGGAGTTGTCAGCCCCTCTCTTGGGTCTCTCAGCCCAGGACACTTCTCTCAGCCTGGAGACCCCAGAAATGGGCCTTGGGAAAGGCATCCGCAGGGGAAATCCCGGGTTGGCCGGGACCTGCATGTGGGGAGGGGCGACCAATATGCTGGACTGCAGTGTGAGCACAGGGGTGCCCGAAAGTGCCGCTGATCTTATGGGTTTGTGTAAGAAGTTCCCTTTATAATAAACGCTGTGGCGCGGAAGGCAAGCACGCGGCCATGGCTGAGGGCTGACCCCGCGGGTGGGCGGCTGGCTGACCGCCAGGGTTAGAAAATTAGGGGATGAACTGAAACTAGAAAAAGATGATAGAATATTGTCCACACCTCTATTAGAGCGGGAATGACGTAAAGGTGGGAGGGGGAGGAAGGTCTCGAGATCCACTTCTTTTATGGAGGCCACAGGTCTGCCTGCAGCTGTGTGTGTGCATGTGTGTCTACACATGTGTTAAGTGTGTGGTGTTTTCTACCTCTGGGTGGTGTTGCTAATTTGTAAGTGAGCTGTGTTTAATTGGTTCCAAAAACAAACAAGCACTTACAAGGATTGGCTACTCTACAATTCTCAGAAACGCAGAAACAAACACACACTTTTCAAGTTCACTATAGAAGATTAATCTTCGGTAAATAAAAGCTGATTTAAGTTTGTTGACTTATGTAGAACAGACATGTTTTTGAGTTATCTACTGGCTAAAAATTCTAATTAAGATGAAAAGAAAATAATATATACGCTTTCAGTCAGAGAAGGAAAAGGTGTGAAAATATATTTTTGAGAGAAAGAAAAGTAAGTTTGTCCTAAAGTGAGGCTGGTTGTTTCAGAATGAAAAGAGGAAAAGCAGGACAAAATCTGAATATGAAAAAGGAGACTTATAGAAGGTTTGTGCAAAGTAGTAACGAGAACAGAAATCTGTGTGGGCAAGCTGAACTCGTCACGGACGCGGATTTCAGCATCAGGAGTAAGAGGATGCAAAGGCAGAGTCTTCCTCTGGCAGAGGCTGTGCAGTACTCCGGGGCCCCTGGGATGCCTCGAGGTTTGTTCTCTCTCCTTAAAAGAGAACAATATTAGACTAGGCTTACCTGGAATGTTGAAACTACTTGGGAAACATTGTCAAATGAGAAATGACATTGAGCCTTGACTGGTTTGGCTCAGTGGATAGAGCGTCGATCTGCGGACTGAAGAGTCCCAGGTTTGATTCCCATCAAGGGCATGTACCTTGGTTTTGGGCACATCCCCAGTGGGGAGTGTGCAGGAGGCAGCTGATCGATGTTTCTCTCTCATCGATGCTTCTAACTCTCTATCCCTCTCTCTTCCTCTCTGTAAAATAATCAATAAATTTTTTTTTTTAAAGAAATAACATCGAGCCTTCTTTATGTTGTAGTTGTATAAATGTTCCAGAAATTCCGTGAAATTGCTGGGAATCTGAGCTCTCCTGACATAAGATGCCGGTCATCAAAACTGAGGCCACACCGAAGGGACTGACCCTGAGTGTCAGATTGTGACCCGTGGGGATGAAGTCTATCCTGTTTCTGCAAAAACAAGCCCTCGCTGTGGGGCTTCCCTCGCCCTGAGGTCCTTGTAACCATGGCAACAGGCTGCTCCCGAATCAGAGCAACCAGGTGGGTGAACAACTGGGGCCTTGGGAGACCAGGTGGCCTCTTGGTTCCCCTCGGCCCCTGCCAAGCCCCATTTCCCACTGTTTGCATCCTTCGCGCCCCCGAATGCTGAACCTGGACTTCATCCAGCTGCCGTCAGTGTGGTCACCAAGGCGCTCTTGGCGTGTGTACACTTTCTGGAGGGGTTGCAGCCTCCCCTACTGATGCCCTCACAGTGACCAACAACTGTTACGCAATGTGTCTCCCATGTGGGGTGTGCCTTCCAAGTGCTCCCCTTCACACAGCCCCACCGCAGGCCATGGATGGTGGCTCGGGGCCTGTCCCTGTTTTCCCTCCCAGCCTCTGTGAAATGGGCTACTACGCTGATGACAAAACGTTAACCTGCGGAGGTCCGCCTCTGCCGCGGAAGGCCCTGCAGGCTCTGCAGCCCCACAGGAACGTGCCAAGGAATCACATCACGTGGTTGGCTAAGACCTGCTTTGTCCCCAAGGCTGTCACAGACAAAGTACAGTCCTGTCCAATAGCAAAACATGTGAAAGAGGGACAGTCTTTCACAGGAATTCTGGGGTATCGGTGAACTCTTATACCCCATTGAGTGTAATGCCTTCGCCCATTACTGCCTGGTTAGGAAAGGACATAGATGGGCCGGGGTGGGGGTGGGGGCAGAACAGCAGGCTGCCTTTGAGAAAGCAAATGCTGGTGGTCCTGGCCAGTGTGGCTCAGGTGGCTGGCCACCATCCTGTGCACTGAAAGGTCGCCAGTTCGATTCCCGGTCAGGGCACATGCCCAGGTTGTGGGCTCAATCCCCAGTAGGGGTGTGTGCAGAAGGCAGCTGGTTGATGTTTTTCTCACTTGGATGCTTCTCTCTTCTCTCCCCCGACTCCCTTTCTCTCTCTCTCTCCCTCCCTCCCTCCCTCTCTAAAAAACAACAACAAACATCGCTGGTCAAGCAGACTAGCTCTTGGAATCGCACAGGTGCGGTGCCATGTGAATGACATGTTTCAGTCACCCTGGAAGGCATGAGCTGGGCATTGTGGCAGAAATGGCAAAGAGAAAGAGTGCCCCTGGATTTTGGTCCCAACTGTGGAAGAGGACAGAGGTCAGACACGCCCTGAGAGAAAACCAATTGTCATAAGAATTTCCCTTCCCATCAAGGAGAGGGTCACCATGTTCCATCGCCCGACCCTGCCAGGGGTCAGCCTCCGATGCTGACCGCACGGCATGCCTTTACAGAGGCGCGCCCTGACAAACAGTCCTGTCTCCACGGGCTCCGCTACTGCGCCTGCTGAACACAGAACCTCCCAAAGCTCCTGCCCACCCTGTGTCAGCCCCTGTGACCTGCAAGAAAGGAGGGACATTCTGGCTGGAACTGATGGCTCTAGCGGGACAATCTGTCTACTGGATGCTGTTGCCATTCCGCCGCCCACTGATCCTATCCGGGTGGAAGCAGGAACAAAGCGCAGTAGCCAGTGGGCTGAGCTAAAAGTCTGATCACTGACCCTGCACAGCCAGGTGGGCTGTGACAATGGGAGGCAGAGGGGTGGACAGCAATGAGCAGCCCACATAGGACAGGAGATGGGGAGACATCTGGGCTCACTGGCTACAGCCGGGGGCAGAGCTGACCTTTTCCTGCCCCTGCCCACAGGCGTCTACACTTCCAGGTAAGCAGGAGGCAGACGCCGTGGCAAAAATGTGTGCCTCAGCAGACACAGCAAATGGGAACTTGAAGAAGTGGACAGCCTAGTGTCTGAACAGGATGGCAGTTAATGAGGCTGCCCCCACAAAGGGACTAGAAAAGTCCTAGTCCCACCTCTGTATGGGGACCCCCGTCGTAGAGAGTGACGGTGGGGTCACATTTCAGAGGACATGATGTGCAAGCACGGGCAGAAGAACACGGTACTGAATGGAGGCTCCACCTCCCCTGTAACCGCAGGCAGTGGGGCGGATAAGTCAGAAAGATGATGTCCTAAAATTATTAGCTGGAAAACCTACGTTGGCCGGGTGAACAAAGGTGCTTTCGCAGGCATTAAACATTTATGGGCTTTTGTTGTTGTTCTGGTTGTTGTTGCTTTTTTAGAGAGAGAGGAAGGGGAAGAGAAAGAGAGAGATTTGTTGTTCCACTTGTTTATGCATTCATTGGTTGCTTCTTATATGTGCCTGACTGGGAATCGAACCCACAACCTTGGCATATTGGGACGATGCTCTAACCAACTGAGCTACCTGGTCAGGGCCCCAGGCCTTACTACATTTAAATAATCAAGTGCGAGTGCTGTTGCCTCACAGCCACATTAGAGACTCAGCCAGAGGCCCTATACGGTGAAGGTGTGGAAACGAAGGCACAGATGCCGGCTCTGGGCCAGAGGGCGTGGTCATGAGGACACCAGACCTGCTGTCCCTGGAACAGGGACCGTTTCCTGGAATCTGCAATGGGATTCTGTGCGAAGGGTTAGTTACTTCACGTCCCTGGATGGAGAGGAACTTCTCCGTCTCCTGTGGGACCCTGTCACTCTAAGGCAGTAGGGTCCCATGGAGACAAGCCGCATGTGGACTGGCACACACCCCATTGAAAGAGGGGAGAAGGGAGGGGTCCTGGGGTCCCAGCTTGGCTAATCCTCCCTCTATTTACTTCCTCGTGCCAAGAAGCACCACCCCCCTGGCCAACATGTAGAGCTTGCACAGCCTGGCCAGGTTCCCAAGGCCGTGGCTACGTCAACATCCAAAGACCAGGCTGCAAGTGTCACACTCATAGAGGAAGACTTCCCAACTCAAGTCCCTACTGACCTTGGACTTGTGCTGCTCTTGTGGCATCCAACAGTTATGGGGCAGAGGGGCACCCCACTGAATGGGTGTGCTGTTGTTTGTTACTGTTGTTGTTTTTATTGATTTCAGAGAGGAAGGGAGAGGGAGAGAGAGATAGAAACATCAACGATGAGAGAGAATCATTGATCGGCTGTCTCCTGCACACCCCACACTGGGGATCGAGCCCACATCCTGGGCATGTGCCCTTGACTATAATCGAACCTGGGACCCTTCAATCTGCAGGCTGATGCTCTATCCACTGAGCCAAACAGGCTAGGTCTGAATGTGGTGTTTTTTATACCAGATGAATCTGCTCGTATTTCTTCTTTGCTAACACATATGAAGGCTCACGTAAACCCCTCAGTGCCCTGACCCCATGTCCAGATGACCTAGCACCTAGCCCAGATCCTGAGGGCCATGATGGAAAACATCGTTACTAATACCTGGATTCCTGCTTTTAGTGTTTTTCCTTTGCTTGCACCTCGATGTTGTTGCTGTAGACTGTGTCCCTAATGTGCGCCATTGGCGACTAAGCGAGCTACCTCCCTGCTAATGAAGGCCCTTGCTGACACCCAGGGCACCTCCTGGGAGAGGCACAGGGTGGACTGTGGAGAGACACTGCCATGGTGTGACTGTCTGGTGCTGCCAGGACGGAGCTCGCTCTGGGACGGAACAGGGACATCTGATGGGCCCTCCCCGTGCTTGCTGGTGTGTGTGGCCAGAACATGCCCTGGCCCTGCCCTGGCAAGCATGCAAGGTCTTTCCCCTACCTGGGCGGGCCGCTGCAGTGCCCTCTCCATCCTGCCCTGCCCCACCGGGCACAGAGGACTTGCCAGCCACGCCTCCCCTGTGACAAGCTCGATGGAAGGCGGAGGGTCAGCCTCTTCCTCAGGCCCTTGGCCCAAGGGCTTTTAGGAAACCCTCCACCAAGGCACAAGCCCCGGAGGTGCTGATGGATGCTAGCGTTGGAGAGCCACGGGCTAACCACTCTTAATGATGCGGAAAGAGGCAGAAGGGACTTGTATAAAATGTCCCCTCTTTGGTCAAAATGTCGTGTGAGGGAGCCGCGCAGATGAACACGACCTGCACAGCCGGAGGGGGCGCCGGCCACCCTGAGAGGGAGCAGGAAGGGGAGCTGGAATCGAAGGCCCGCAGGCCGCAGGGTGTCAGATTGTGTCCCTCTGTGCACTCGGCTCTTCCCGCCCGTGGCTCTTCCAGATCCACCCAGGGAGACGCCCAGGGAGACGCCCAGGGAGATGCCCAGGGTCACTGAGAGAGGCCTGGGCCCCATTTACCTGAGACATGAGGGTGTCACAAGCAGAAGATAAGCCAAATCCCACGGAGATACCAGTGACATTGATCACCTGGAAAGAGATGCAAAGGAGAGGCTGCTCAGCGTTCAGGGAAGACAGGAGAGGATGCCGGCCGCCTGGGAGAGCCCGCAGGGCCTCTGCCGGCAGAGACCGCGGGGCGGGCACAGAGGACGTGCACACGGTTAGAGAAGAGACGTGTAGGCCAGAGGCTCTACTCAGCCTTGTTCTTTTTTAATCTTCAGCATTTTGCTCCCTAATTTCAGAGGAACGTGCATCCTTCCTAAGGGGCAGGCAACGGGGCAGGACGCCAGGCGGGTAAGTCCACTTGCTCAAAACCAAGCCTGGCTTGTTCCAATGTCCCGGAGGACTCTGGGAGTGCAGAAGCCGGTCTCTGAAGTCAAGGCCAATGCCAGGGGCTCCCACATGTGCTGGTTTGACCAGGTCAGCAAGCCCTGGGGTTCCCGGAGCTCTGGGGAGCCCATGGCTGCAGCCCCAAGTCAGGGAGGGGCATGGCAGGACCTCTGACGCTGGCCTTGTCTGGAACCTGCTACCTCCGCCGGAGTCTGCAGGGAGCTGCCGGGGCAGCAGCCACACCAGCCCAGCCTGAGAGCACCAGCTTTCTTGCACGTCCTTGACCAAAGAGAATCTGCTGGAGGCCAGCTGAGTACATTTCTATCTCCCCCCAAATTTCCAAACAGCAAAAACCAAAAAGGAAAATGAAGCCTGGGGCTGTCCACTTGCTCCCTGAAAGCAAAATACTCTGCTTATTCTGGGGCTAGAGCAGAGTGGTAGTCTCGCAAGGTTCACCAATGCAGCTCAAAGCCTGGAGGGAGCAGGCAGGGAAGGCGAATGTGTGCCTTGTCTGCAGGAGCAAGGGGTGTCGGGGAGGCCAGGAGCGCATGCTGAGAGCAAGTGGGCGGGCCCTTTGGCCATGCAGAGCCAGCTCACCCCTGGCGGAGGTCAAGGACATCTCTCTCTGGTTTGGGGGGATCTGATCTAAGATACAGAGAGGATTTGGGGTTCTTTATGACTTTAGGGTTAGATAATAGGATACAGGATTTCATTTTCCAGTTTAATTTCTAGATTAGGACTCTCAGTAAGACAGACAAGTCATTGGGATGGGAGTAGAGGTCTCGGTTTCTTCTTTTTTAAATTAAACTTATTGAGGTGACATGGGTTAATAGGATCATACATGTTTCAAGTACATTTCTATGATACATGATCTGTGTATTGCATTGTGTGCCCCTCACCCAAAGTCAAATCATCTTCCGTCACCATATATGTGGCCCCTTTACCCCCTACCACCTCACCACCTCACCACCCGCTTCCCTCTGGTAACCACCAGACTGTCGTCTGTGTCTATGCGTTTTAGTTTTATATCCCAAATGAGTGAAATCATATGATTCTTAGCTTTTCTAACTGACTTATTTGCTTAGCAGGATATTCTCAAGGTCCATCCATGTTGTTGCAAATGGCAGTATTTCATCTTTTCTTATGGCTGAGTAGTATTCCATAGCATGTATGAACCACATCTTCTTACCCAGTCCTCTATGGTGGTCTCCATGTCTTGGCCACTGTGACTAATGCTGCAGTGAACATAGGGGTGCGTAGAGCTTTGTGAATAAATGTTCTTGAGTTCTTCAGGTAGATGCCCAGGAGAGGATTGCTAGGTCATATGTTAACTCTATTCTTAATTTTTTGAGGAAGCACCTGCCTGTTTTCCATGTGGCTGTACCAGCCCACATTCCCACCAGCAGTGAATGAGGGTTCATTTTTCTTCACATCCTCCCCAAAATTTGTTAATACTTGTCTTAATGATAACAGCTCTTCTAACAGGTGTGAGGTGATATCTCATTGTAGTTTTGATTTGCATTTCCCTAATAGCTAGTGAGGTTAAACATATTTTCATATCTGTTGGCATTTTGTATGTCTTCTATTAGGAGTCGCTCTATATATGTTGGTGCTCCCTGGTTGGGTGCATATATATTGGTAAGTGTTTTGTCTTCTTGACATATGTCCCCTTTATCATTATAAAATTTTCATCTCTGTCTCTTGATACCCTTGTTATCTTGACATTTATTTTGTCAGATGTAAGTATGGATGTGGATGTTATTTGCTTGGAGAATCATTTTCCACCCTTTCACTTTGAATACACCTTTGTCTGTAGTTTAGCTGTGTCTCCTGAAGGCAGCATATGGATGGGTTTTATTTTTGTTTTGTGTGTTTTAATATGTTTTTATGGATTTCAGAGAGGGAGAGAGAGGTAGAAACATTAATGATGAGAGAGAACCACTTATCAGCTGCCTCCTGCACGCCCCACACTGGGGATTGAGCCTGCAACCTGGGCATGTGCCTGACTGGGAATCGAACTGTGACCTCCTGGTTCATAGTTCGATGCTCAACCACTGAGCGTGGTGG